TTCACTCTTTCTGAATTCTCACTCATGAAAAGAATTCTGTACTCAAACCCAGGCACACAAAGTCCTTGCTTTCTCTAGGTTTGGTCCTAGACAAGAAATCTACTGCCTTGTGGAGTGAAGCAGTAGGATAGATTGCTGTTCTTGTTGAAGATGGTCCTTGAGAGGACTTGTCCCACACTCCTGCTGAACGATTTACAGAATGCTTTTGAATTTTCCCTGGCTTTCAGTCAAGATTTACTAAAAATGCCTAAGTGATGCCCTGAACCATTTCTGTCATACTGCAGTTTTGAAAAAGGGGATTTCAGTGCCTAAAATAGACTGGGGCCTCTCTGAAGACTCCCTGTTCATTTCGTCCCTTATGAATTTCACATATTTGAACTTGCAATTTTAACACAACTGTGTTAAATTTGCAGCCAACTAGAAACATCAGTTTTAGAGCTGATGTTGTTTTAATAGCTTTGATACTGCATTTCTTGTTCCTGATGGTTGCCTTCTCTGCTTCAGCTTTTTCCTCTTTGCAGACTTAGTGAATTGATTCTGTTTCACTGGCTCATGACTTGGCTAAACATAGAAGAAAGGTGGAAGCCTGGTTACCTGAAGGCAATATACCTCTACTGGAAAAATAATTGTTTCCTGTGAGGATATATTTGTCTGTGTATTTGTATACATATACAACTATTTTTGAGATTTTCTAAAACATATATAATTGGTTTTGAGTGCATTCAAATGAGTAAAAGTCATTATAGCCATGAGCAACAGAGAAATAGGTTTTTAACCAGAGGGGGAAAAAAAAGACCTCTTCCCATCAACAGTTTTAAAAAGCCCTTAAAGACCACTTGATATCTGATAGCAACAGAGGAGTTAGCACTTATGCAGATGTCAGATGTCACTCTCGTGTGTTTTTGCACATTCTTTTCCAATATCTTAATATATGTTACTTAAAATGATGTAGTGAATACCTGTCTGGAATGACACCTGGGAGAGAGCCCAGGGCATATTGATAGCAGTAGGATGTTCCTCAATGGGTATCTAGCCAGGTTCCTCAGAAATGGGAGAGCAGACACCAAGTGAGACTTGACCACCATCAGCAATTAATGATTTAGAGCATTCTTAAACCTTGGAGGTTAAATAAATATGAATGATTTTCATACTGACTAACTACTAATACTGTAGGAAAAAAAGTAAATCAATTTCAAATAGGTAAGAAGATTTAATTTAGAGTGTATTTTATTCCTATGAGTCATATTTTCAGTAAAATAGTTTATTGTAGTAACACTTTGCTGTACATAGTATTTTTATAAATTCTTGCAATAGGGATAAATTAATTTGTATTGCTAACCAGCACAGAAGCAGTTCACTCTTCCTACTTGAAATCCAGGAAAAATAAAGATTTTAGTGGCTATTTGTATAGTGTGATTATGTGTGAAAATATATGTTTTTAAAATCTAGAAACAGCCATTCCAAAGATGCAAAGTTTAAACATTCTAAAACAAATGACTGATTTCAAACTAGCTTTTTAAAAAATGTTAATATTCCCAACCATCCTATTACCCCATGCAATGAATATGAATCACAGTTCCTTTCTGTAATTGTCTTTAATAATACTGTACTTAGTTTCTGTCTGGGATTGTACTTGGCAGTCATTTTCTGAAATATTTTTTTGCAAAATTCAAACAGTGGAAAATAAATAAATGTATAATATAAAGCAAATATAAAATTTAAAGACTTAAAGGTCATTAACTGAACTGAAACATGAATATATATATCAGATCTATTTAGATTTATAAAATTAAACTTACAAAATGCCATCTAGACTTCAAAAATGCTGAGCTTGATTTCTATGTGGAGCAGCTGCATATCACACTACAAAATGCTTACTTGGTTATACCACTGTGATTATCAAATGATGGTAAGCAAAGCAACCCTTATAAAAGAAGTCCACTTTGCATATTATGAAGGTCATTACAGAAAACTCCAGGTGGAGAAAAGCAGCACAGAGATGCCATCTAGCAGTAACTCTTAGAAATTTCCTAGTGTCCTATGGATACTTCCTTCTTTCAAGACACTGCACTTATGAGTAGGAGAAATGAAGATTTTTCTGTCCAAATCCTTTCACTGTAGCTGGCTTTCTGCTGAATGTCTAGCCACCCTGTTGGGAATAAATCTTTAATGAAATATATTATCATGGATAATTTATAATATTTTCCTACGTAAATACAGAGAAAAAGTAAAGCAACAAATATAACATTTAATAAGTATCTTAAACTGAAATTCAGTAATTAGCACTGTGTTAAAGTTTATCATTAGTGAGCTGCCTTTCAGTTGTTAAAGAAAAATTTCTAAAGGTGATCAATATTTTATATCAAATTTAAAAGAAAGAATTCAAGAGCATGGACAATAAATTACTATGGTTGAAATAAAATCTTAATGTTTCAGAGACTGGGAAATAAACGATATATAAATTTTTGTTACATATTTTACCATAAGATGGCGATACTTAAACACTTAACTATCAGTAAATAACTGAGTAAGTTGAGCACAACATCTCTGTCATAACAAGAGTGCCTGAAGACAGCAGTGTTGGCTCAGTCTTTCATTTAGCCTGGTACTAAATGAAAGATTTTTTTATACTCCCCAAGGCATTATCTTAAAATAGTTGATCAATAAAATAAATTATTAACTGAAAATGATGTAGGACATAACTAGAAATGTATTGTGTGTACCAGAAATATCTACTGTCATTCATCTCCATAAGCTAAGTCGGTTGTGAGTGTCAAGGGCATGTAGAAAGTTGCCTCTCCAGGCATGAGCATACTGCACAATTCTTTCTGGAAAAGAAAGAATTTACCATTCCCTTGTTTCCTACAATTAGGTTTATACCATAGATTTGCTTCCCAAACTGCAGGGCAGAAAATTATTATTCTACTTCAATTTAGCATAAAGCAACATAAATAATTGAGCACTAGTTTAATTTCTGGAGTGTTCTCAGTTAGAACTTGTACTTTTCTGCTAGCAAAATATGTTTAAAATTTTTCATACATAATTCTCCACAGAAATATGAAATATATTGTTCACAGTCAACAAAAATTAGTGTTTGCATGTGACACCTTTTTATGTTTGATGTGGTGTAGGATTCACTTGATCTCACTTTTTTAATTTAAGAAAACCCAATTAGCTCTGATAAAAACCAGACTCCAAATTTTAAGGACTTTTGAGCTTTTTTATTCCTGACCCTTGACAAAGTCAAAAGAGCCTGGAAAGAACATCTGAATCTCTGAAAATGTCACACAGAGTGATGAATAAAAGGCCATTTTCATGCCCTTTGCACAGCATGGCATAGCAAAAAGGGCTAGAAGCACAGTTTCCAAAGTTCATTTGTTCCATTTCATTCCAGTGCCTCATCCTGTTTTTCAGTGCTGGATGGTGACAGAGACAGAAAATGGAACACTTTTTCCCAGTGTTATTTTGGGGTCTGAACTAAAAAGAATTGTTCTGCCAGGTCTGTTTGCTTCATTAGTGGTTTTACTCTTCTGTGGACATAGAAGGATATACATTTGCTTTTCCTGCTTCTATGCAGTGTCTTTAGTAGATATTGCTAAGTGTAACAGAAGACAGAAAAATAAAGAAAACGAGTGTGTGGAAACCTCTAGTTATAATGAGACCATGTGCTGCTGTTCACACAGATATGAAACTCCCATGTGTGCATTGCCTGATGAGTCTCCTTACAGGCACAGCAATACCTGACTTCCAAATAGCTCTTATTTAATAGAACTGATATAACTAATTTCTTAATTAATATTATTAATCCTCCATGACCTCCTGCTTTTTTCAGTTGTCGCTATATCTTACTGATTGAAAGGCAGCTGTAAATCAGATTTCCACTGAATTGCTTTTTACGTTCTGTTTTTGTTTTTAAAGAGAGCATCCCGTCCATATTGTTGAACATTCAGTACGTATTTGTGTATGTACAGATTGATATCTTTATTTTAAATGGAAAATATCCAGAAGAGCTGAGCACTGCCTCACACTGTTGGCTGGTACCTAACTGGTATCATTAATGTGACATTCACTGCCACGCAATGTAAATTGTGGCAACATGGCACAGAGTGCTGCTGGCAATGGACTGCAATACTATAGCAATGTTTTCTCTTGTCACGTTTTTATAATGCTCACAGTTACAAGACTGTATGCCACAAAAAAAACCGGCAAACGAGATAAGTTCTACATCTATAAAATACAGCACTACAGACATCTGCAGACCTGGTGGCTTTCAGTCATTACTGCTTTTAAGTGGTAGAGCGCAATTCTGGTTTTCTAAACGACTTAATATGAAATCTCCTTCACCAGCCAGACTACACGGCTAAAACCTATATGTACTTTACTTTTATAATTATTTAAATTTCAGCTGCGATCTCTTGGTGACTTGAACACGTTTGTAAATAACAGAACTGCAGCAGCCCGGAGCGTGGCTATAGTACTAAATTCAGTGTCTTCACGTGACGCCTCCAGTTTCACTCTAAACAAATTTATTTCCAGTGGGAGGCTGCCGATCCCTGCTTCCAGCGCCTCGCTGCTTCCCCCGAACTGGTGCAGCGCTGTAAACGCCTCCTTGCCCGGAGCGCGATGGATTGCCGCTGGTTCGCGCTGGACAGCGACCGGCCTTGGACAGCTACCGGGCACGGCAGCCCCGTCGCTGTGCGGCGGACACGGCTCCGCTCCCCCGGCGCGGGCGGCTGCGAGGCCGGTGCGGGGTGCCCGCCCTGAGCCCTGCCCTGCTGCGGGCCCCGCCGCATTGGCGCCCGCACCCCGCTGACGGCGGGCACCGCGCCCCCCGCCCGGCCGGGAACCGACGCGAGCTCTCCTCTCCCTCCTGGCCGCTCGGACAGCCAAGGACACGCACCCACCTCTCCCCGGAGCCATCCGGCGCATCGCCCGCTACCGCATACGCCGTGTGCGGGCGGGCTCCGCCGCTGCGAACTTGCCGCCCGCCCGGCTCCTACCTTGGAAGGATCGAGGCCGGCCAGCAAGGACAGCAGCAGGAGGTTGAGGATGCTGGCGGGCGCCCGCATCCTGATCCCGGGGCTGCCTCTCCGCGCCGCTCCTCTCGGTCATTCACTCCGCTCCCGCCGCAGCGACCGCGCCGGCAGCCGCGCTCTCCTCCCGCTCGCCGCAGCCCGAGTGGAGGCGGCAGCGGCAGCCCGGGGGACGCTCATTCCGTGGGCAGCCTCGGCGCGGGGAGGGCGGGCGAGGACAGCGCTGCCCGAGCCGGCGGAGCGGCTCCACGGCCCCGTCCCACCCCGCCCCTCCCCTCCCCCCGGCCAGCCCACCACAAAAGTTTGGGCCCGGGAGACGGCGGAGCCAGCGCGGCTGGACAGGCGCGGGCGGCGGATGTGACATCAGCGCGGGCGGGAGGGCGCGGGGGCTCCGGGCAGCGGCCGCGGTGAGGGGAGGCGTGGCCGGGCCGCTGCGGGCGCGGTGCCCCCGTGAGGGCGGCCCCGCCGTGCCGCACCCGCACCCGCCTCGCTTTATCGCCGCCGGCTGTGGCCGGCAGGGGCCCGCTCCTCTGTGCGGCGCGGCTGTAGGCGGGGGGCAGCCGCTGTCCCGAAAAGAGCGCCTGGCACCATGGCAAGGGTGGGTTGATGTGGGGAGCTGCGGGAAGAGGCTTTTCCTCAGGGGAGTCCCCTTCGCATCTCCGTCTAGAAAGTTAAGTTAGGGCTTGACTGAGCTCTGGTGAGGGTAAAGCCACCTATGCTTTCCAGCTGGTCCAGGGGCAGCAAAGGACCATCGTGTCTCCTTGCTCGGCCTGTGAGCTGAGGTGGAAAGCTTGGGCAAGTGAAGGTCACTTGCTGAGAGGAAACCTCGAAAGCTTGCCCATGGGCAATCGTGAGTTTCCTTTTTCCCACATCAGCCAGCATCTTTGCAGTGAAGACAGCCCTGTTTTGGCACCAGGGCTCCGCCTTGGCAGCTGCCCACCTGTGCCGGTCAGTTTCGCAGGTCAGTTTCGCAGGTCAGGCAGCCATGGGATTTGGCTTCCTCAGCCATGTGCGTTCAGCACAGCTGAGCCTGGCCCTAGTGTAAATAACAGCGCTATCCTTTAACATGGGTGAAGCATCTTAATGGTTCAATTATTTTACCTTATAATACTCAGTCTCAAGACCTATGGTCAGGGTAATCTTATTTATGACACAGTCAAGATTATAATAAATGTGGCTTTCAGCTTTGTGTGGTAAAAATCTATTTTAGCTTTACAGTTGGCAATTTTTTGGTCTTGACTAGATTGTCTGGGGGTTTCACTGTGTGCTTTTTATGCATCTAGTACAGAAAGGCCAGCACTGTTGTGCCTTTTTTCTTAGGTGCTGTATAATCTTAACTAAGGGAAAAGTGGGCTAAAAATATCCTTAAAAAAGCAGAACTTGAGTGTTAAAATACCAAACTTCAGACAAAACAAAACCCCAGGTTTGGGAGGGTGTTAGGGTAAGTGTGAACAGAACATGATTTTCTAACTGTCTTGAAATGTACAAGATCGGTGTTGTTTGCCTTGAGGAGCTAAGACCACTGCTGAAAGACAAAGCTTTGTGCTTACAAGTTATCTGAAAAGATTGCATATCCTTGGCATAGTGTTCCCAGATCAAAAGTGCTGACTTTTCCTGTGACTTCCAGTGTTTTATTACATTTTTGAATTCCTTCTAGGCTTACAATAACTAGATTTTGTTTTGTGAGTGAATTTAAATTTATGTTTTATGCTAAGATATCTTACACGTCCCCTTTTCATCAGCAGTATCTTTTACAGAGATACAGTCTTTCATTTCCTTGGAAGGTAGGTCTACAAATTTTGTTTCCTTATGGCGTGGAAAGGAGATTATGAATGAGCTTTCATTGGCATTCCAGGGTCAACAATGGAAAGAGACACCCCTCTGATACAGCTGCCTTTGAATTACCTTCTACAAGGAAAATATAAAAGGTATGGAAAGGAGATTAGGTATTTTTTTCTTAACTCTCCTGTAGAAAGTATGTAAAAGCCCTATTTTCTTTTAAAGGGCATTAAAAAATACAAAAGGGGACAGACACATATATTCCTATTAATTCAATATAAAGTAATGGTACCAATGCACTGAAAACCTCCGGTTGGCTAAAGGACAAAATGAATGGTGCTTTCAGCAGAAACAATTTAATATAAAAAAAAAGAACATAGCTTCAAAGCCACAAAGGCAAGATTGAAGGTATTTAAATATTTTCTAGGGCACCTCAGTGACTAGTTCTCTAATTTTCCCTACCTTTACTTTCCCCATGCTTTTCTTCCCTTCTTTGTTTCTCAGTTTATCATAAAATTGGCAAAGCATATGAACTATTAAATTAATCTTAGAATGCAAATGTATTAAGGAGCTTAAGTGATACAGTATGTTTTTCTACTTTCTGATGCTGCTTGGAATATCTGTCTTTGAAATTCAGTAAAATATTGAAGAGTTAAGTTAAAAAATAAAATCAGTGGTTCTCCTAAAAACATAAGCCTTCAGAACTCCTGAACTTCTCGGATACTTTTATGTGTTACAAACTAATAAATTGTTTGATGTATGAAAAGGTAGCAAAACATGTTTTAAAAAGATGGCATAAAATGACCCAATTCTTTTCTGCTTGATTTTAATAATACATTCGGAAGAAAATAAAAATATGCAATAGACTTATTGTTCCACCCTCTAACAACCTGACAAGTAATTTCTTTTGATAGAAAAGATTATCTGAAGACTGGTGAGAATCGTTAGCAATCAGTACCTGAAATACTTCTGTTTGTTAAAGTTTACCTGAAAAATTAGACAAAATTCAAGTTCTCATGAGAAGTTTTTATTTCTGCCCTATGCCCTGAAGCAGCAATACCTGATTGTGAATCAATCAGGAATACCTGATTGTGAAGATCTCTCTCTAGCAAAACTTTTAATCATCCTTAAAAACCTATGAAATTCTATATGAATGACATTTCTTCTTGAGGTCTTTGCATGGAGACTGACTGCTGCAGTCTGTGTGAAATACGTGATTGTGAGAGAAAAGAGACACCAAAAACTTTCCTGCAGGCATCAAGGGACAGAGGGTGCTGTGAATGCAGCTGGTCTAGATGGGGAGGGATGTTATCAGTGTGTGCCTGAATTACAACAACTTTTCTCCACCCCAAATTGCAAGATGTATTGCTGGCAGTTGGAGTAAGACAGACTCATTCACTCAGGTACACGGAAAGCAAAGTTGATAAATTGGCTGTAGGTACCAAATTACAAATAAGTAAGTTTGAAGTTCTGCAATCTGAGTTTGGCAGCTCAAAGTGATGATGGGAGTTATGAAAGAGGATACCTCACATGTGCATCTGTGGAAAGGCAATCTTTATTTGTAGCAGGTAAACTGTAAACAGGTAAACTGAAAACTTTTGAATTGCAGTGCTAACAAATATCTTTTCCAAACAGGAAACTTCTTCATTAAATTGGTCTTATACCTAATATTTCATGGGTCTTGAATTTTCTACTAGGTTAAGAAGGTAGTCTGGATTTTGAATTTCAGGCATTCTCCTGATTGTGAGAATGAAAAGTTTAGGGAATTGGAAAGAAGAGTTCAATACTGACCCTTGTTGATGTTATCTGCTCTGAAATGTCCTTGAAGCGGATACATTTGTTCTTCACTACATAAAAGATTTTGGTATCTCAAGGAAGCTAAAGAGAGAGAAAAAGACACAAACAAAATTAAGCTATCAGTGGTACAGAAGCTAAGCTTTTTGACACATTATGTTTATTTACACTTGGAAAGAACATGACAGAAACAGAACACATGAAGTTTTTAAAAATCAGATGATTGTAAAAATTAGTAAAAAATTAGTTTAATTTAGCCAGTGAAGAGTACATAGATGTTAAATGAAATATAAAAATATTGCACATGTGGGACATAATTCATGGTGGGACTCCTTTAAATTATTAAATTTGCTAATATTTGGTTAGTTTTTACCATCAGATTGAAGTACAATTTATGATTATCAGTCATAATAGCAGCGTAATTGTTTGAATCTGTAAATACTATGACCTTGCTTTTTAATCCACCTCTGTATTAGTTAAAATATCAAAATGAGGCTTTAGAAGCATGTTTTGTCAGTGTAACTGTCCTAGTGATGAATATTTTTCTAAACAGAGAATTTTTTTAAGTCCTACTATTACCTGAAAAATGTATTTTGAATTTTTGTATAGTTGTTTTAGGAACTTTTCTGTGAACATTACCTTTCTTTGCATACCTCTGTAAGAGTGCACTGAAAGTAGTAAAAATCCAAGTTTCTGCAGAAGTGCAGTGCTGTTATTTCCCGCTGAGCTCGTGCTGATGCCAGTGGTGAGGTGTGCAGTGATGTGAGTCAGCATCAATGTTCTGCCTCCCTCAGCAAACATGAAACACTCGATAGATGGACCGAAATATTCAGGTACTGGGTGCTGTGGACAGGTTTAACAGAGAACCAGTGAGTCAGGCACCTCTTTAACTCTTTGTTTAAAGCTAATCTATATCTAGAATTTACTTTTGTTAAAGTTTAAGTTTGACCTTAAATTTTGTTGGAGAAGAAATGACCTTAGTAAAATATTCCCACATATTAACAGTTCCTATGAAATACAAGAAAGACTTAACTCTGTGGAAGTTTAAATTCTGTATAAAGCTCAGATCAATATTTTTAAACATTTCTGTGATTTAGCTTGCTTTATTTTTCTTTCAGGTACCACACTTATTTACTTCATTAATGCATCAAAAATAAATCATCTTTCTGGTCTTTGAGGGAGTTAACGTAATCTTTAGAGTACAATATAGGTATAGGATATTTAGATTTAAAGTTCAGTTATATTTGAATCACCATGAATAGAAATGAGAAAATGTAATTAAAAATTTCATCAGTGTGAAATGTAGGAAGGGATTCTTTGTAAAAGTCACAGCATCTATAAAGAATGCATCTCTACCAAAAAAGCTTTTCCTAGAAGGTTATGGAACTCTGCTCACGAGTGTTCTGGCATTTTCCCCTTCCAGCATGGACAAGGACTTTACAACAAATCCCATCAGAGTAGCCTTTATTGGATTGTTGGTTATACATGACTTCTATAATTTTCAATATTGTAAAATTTAAGGATTAAGATTCTCTTCTACAAGATCACAAAAAAGTATTATCCCATGAAATAAGTGAAACTTGGAGAATTAAGATTAAAATACTTTTTATTTTAGAATACAGTGCAGATAGAAAAATCTAGAAGTTGTTGGATAGAATTTGGTTTGTCCGAGTCAATATGAGTAGGAA